TTTGTGCGATCCCATCAGTGTTCATTTTATCTGTTCGTATATTTGAGTATTGAATTGGAAGTATGTTGTAAGTCATAATTTTGTGAGTTCAATCCATGTTGAACATTGCATTTGTTTATTTTCATCACTACAGAGTAATAGTTGCATAGTTTCTGTTGCTAGTTTTGGACTAATTGAAGTATAAAATGCCGTGACATCAAAGGACACCCTTATCTCATTGTCGTCTACTTGAATGTTTTTGATTTCCTCTAAAAATTGGATTGACGAATTGATAGAATAGTCGCTTGATTCTGTTAGGTAATTTAATTTCATGAAACGTTCTTCTGAGAGATTATATTTAGGTGTTCCTGGAAGCGAAGCGATTGGTAATAGGTGAATGTTCGGGTTCTGTACTTTTGGTGTACCGCAGAATAGAATCAAGGTATCAGTATTGACATAATCTTCATAACTAGCTTAACTCAGGATTCGACACAAGAATTAAGTTTACTCAAAAAGCCCGATCGCCATTCAGTGTTGTATAGAAACGTACTTTTAAAAAAATTAAGGCAATTAAAATGTTTGAAACTCTCTGGTGGTATGAACTAATGCATACATATTTCCCAAGTCTCCCTTATGTATGAAACGTTGAGAAAGTGCACAAAATTCTCAGAAACAAATTCACGATATACTCATACTTCAATAAAATACTTCAATATAATTCAAATCAACTTGTACTTTGAGTAAGGTGAAGTGGTTTCACAGTTGAAGTTACACAGTGTGAAACACTCTGTCCCCTGTTAGTAATCTCTCTCTCCTCTCCGTCTAATTCATGGGATTCTGTCGTCATTCATAATATCTAGAGTATTGTTTCAAAATGGTTGATGAATTCAACCACTTGAACAATTCTTCTTTAATCTCAACATAATGTTTTCAGTATGAACACATTGCAACTAATATGAATGCTATCATAATAGATCTGCATGCACCTGATCAGGCTGAAACAGCCTGATGTGTTTAAACGAAGCAGTAATGGGAATTCCACCTGAATATTATTAGCCAATTTGTTAGTATTTCTGTAGATCGGCACAGTTGCCAGCAACCTGAACAATACGAATTCACACATCGCTTTCAGTATTTGTGCGTACTTTCTCCACGTTGACAAGGGTTAAGTATTGACGGGATCGATGGTAACATGAGTGAGAAATGATATGAGTTGATAAATAGTTTAGAAGGATAGGAGTTGACTGCTTATATGAAACGTAAGTCGACTGTGCTTGGGATCAAGGCGAGAGAGCAGAGTTCAACAGTCTTTTCGTGTGAGTAGAATTGAAATAGAATTGGGAAAAATCTGACGGAAAAACACCCAATTAACCAGAGAAACTACGGTATCCTGAAATAGACAGAGCGGAGAATGCTAGGGTGTGTCATGTCAACAGGCGAAATGAAGTTCTGTCAATGTGACAGAAGATGACGCAACAACATTGGTATACTTAAGTATCGAGAAGGCAGTGTGAGCCAGATTCACCTCTGTCACGTGCTCTTTGTATGCCTACATTTTGTTAGTCGTTTATTGGCGACAGCCTCAGTAATACGAAACAATCTGGGTGGTTTCTTTTGCCCGCTTGTTATTTTGAACGCCTTCAGATTATCCACAACATGACCAGTGTCCGATAGATGGCTCACAATGGCACGTTTTATTACCTGTTTGCTTTTACTCACAAAGTATGTTGTGTGTGTTCAGAAATTTAGACAGTGACTCTCCTGTGTTCTTGCAATGAAAGTGCTACGGTACGCACGTGACAATCGGTGGACACAGTTGGAGGTAAGATGATGCGAGATTTTGTCCGCGTTTGACTATCTCAGACAACTGATCGTTCGGTGAAGTGAACACATATATGGTCAGCGGCTAGATGTGTTCCCTTCAGGGCAGCATTTAATGTGCATCTTATCCTACTAACATTAATGACACCTGTGAAAACGAGCTGAATGAAGATGATATTTTATCTACTATGCTGTAATTCTCTAGGTGAGTGATATATTTTCCACGTTTTTTGAAGGATCTTCTGTTTGTGTGTGTTTTCGGATAATCAATATCACTGAGGCAATTTGTCATGATGGACAGCTTTTTCACAAGCGAACAGTGTTTTCGTCAGTCTCTTGTTTCTATGACTTATAGGGTGGAAGCTGTTTACGTTCAGGTATAACACACTGTATGAGACCGAAACAACAGCGTGTACTTCAAAGTGTGGTACCAAGGTTACAATTCATACGCTTGTCAATGTGAAATTATGCATCCTTATACAGAATGAATAAGTTGTGTGTTTATAAATAAGAGTGAATATGCTAAAAGAAAATGAGTGATTGGTGTGACTTTCAGTTGCAGTTTTCAATGATAAAGTCACAATATACGACTGTTATCAGAGCTGGAATTAGACAGGTTTTGATATCTTCATTAGATTATTAGGCAAAAATGCTTCCACTTATCTCATACTACCTTTATATGTGCAGATCAAAGTGTCTAACTGGGATCAGTCAGTGAAACTAAAAATATTTAAGATATTTCAGCTGGAATAAAAATGGAAAATTTTCGTATATTAATGATTCCGTTGAGAAAAAATGGTTTCATAGCGATAGCCACTTCCATGTTTTCTGCGCTCTTGATATTCTCAAATGTCTGAAATCCAATAAAGCTAGTGAAATTTTCTAACCCAACGGCGCCTTAGTTACTGTCTTCAGAGGATGTGAAGATATTTTATGGTAACCTGTCACAAACAATTTCAGTGCTTCTTCTTCTTCTTTGAATAACTTTGTACCCATTGCATGAAAATATACTGAGATCCACGCTTTGCTCAAATCGTCTACTGGTATGATTGACACATTTTGCAGTGACTTATCCGTTTGAAAAATTAGTGGAGAAATTACATTCACTCAAATTTGAACCTTTCTTAATTAGGTTGTGATGACCCTACACAATTGGCATAAACAGAGGTTGGATTTACTTAAGGTTCTGCTGCTGTTGGACATCAGATTTTTGTTTCGACTGTTTCGATGAACGAGCCAAATATGTTCTATGTAACTTCTCTGACTAAACATCTTTTTTTGACATTGTACCTAGATGTCATTTGTTGAATAAGTTCTCCTTGAAACAAATAGAGTCCCAGTCTAATAACTGGCTGTATTCGTATTTCTTTGATAGAATAGACAATATTGTGAATCTTCGTTTGCCTTGCTTACTGAAGCTGAACTCCCTCAAGGAGCTGTTCTCTACTTGTCAGACAATTAGTTTCACATTCGAGAACGCGCGAGATCCACAAGAAATGTTTCGTTCGCAAGATCCTAGTAGATTAGAAGGCGCTGAAATAGATGCTAAGTCACCTTGAAAATGTCATTTCCTAAGATCGTTCATGGTCCTATGATAAATTGTTGATTTCTTCAAGGATGTTACATCTAACTTGCCACATTAGGAGGTTAAGACAACAAGGAATCATTAATAATATATATTATTATTATTGTCGTTAACATCATCTAATTTGCACTGATACATACAGAAGATATGAAATCGTTCGAGGCGAAGATTGTGAATACTGCGGCGATGGAAGGGATGATGATACTCACAGACCAACAAGAACGACAAGAACTAATCGCCAGTGATGGGGAAGGTTACCTGACAGAAGTCTCTCCCTTCACCTATTTAGGAGGCGTCGTTCCCATATCAGGCAAATCGCACTAGTGAAGATGTTAAATACACCACCTGAAATTCGAAACTGACCTTCATCACTCTGAAAACAGTTTAAGAATTGTATGTATTAAGCCAGTTTGGAGAACCGGATTTTCAAGACCAATGTTAGACCAGTGACTATATTTCCATGAATGAGAGACCAGGCGTGCGTCTCATGGATAGCATATTCACCAATCTGGAGACTTTCATCAACACCTGTCGTCACTATCTCCGTATTGAATATCATATGACCAGAGAGAAGCAGGGTCAAGGGTATATGAAAGCAAATAATCCAGTAACCTGGTTTTGAAATATTATTTAGAGGTGGAATTATGCGCCAGACCCTCGAGTATATTTGTGACTTTGACAAATCTGTAGGTCTCCGAGATTGACATGAATTACATATTATGTGCAATCCTGGATCTGGCTAAAGTGTACTGAATACAATCGGATAAAGTTAAGGTGTGTTGTTTATCTCCTGTGTTCCACTTGGTACTCAAAGAAACAATAATACTGGAAAGCCTAGCATAAACACTGGAGGCCACAATTCAGTGTGTTACCACGCTTTACACATCCAAATACTGCCAATATTAGACAGCGACATTACCTGTTGTGATAACGTGGTCTAGGATAATTGACAAATTTCTCAAGTGTTGGTGCATTTTGGTTGCACTGTCACAAATTTAAATACTTTAGGAAAAATGGAATAATTGTTTCCTATTTAGAAATCTTTAAGGGATTACCTCTCACTTCAAAATGACACTTCGTTTAACAGACAAGAGGAGTCTTCGTTAAGTATACTGATTCTAAGTCGACTTCACGAACTTCCAATTCTTACACCTCCTCCCACCGATATTCATTCACTCAATCAACATTTATGAAAACTAATCATGCAAATTTCACCAACACCTGACTTCAGTCGATAATGAACATGCACATTTCAGGCAGACATGATAAGCAAAGGTAATGAACAGTGAACACGAACTAGCCAACAGCCTACTATGCCAACAAATATGCAGACATATATATAAAAACATACAGTGAGGCGGGAGGGGGCATGCAGTTGTGAACCATCTGGTCAATTATGAGAATTTTTACAAAAGAGAAGCACTGTACCTATAACTGTTTACCTGAATTCAAGAAAACTATCATTGGAAACGATAAAGAGAGTAAAAGAACCAATAACATTTTGGTTGTTATACTCTGCTAATTTCATTGGTCTATTGTGCACAGAGAAACAGATTGTAGATGGTATAAATAGTCATCTGTTAACCCAGAATAGAACAAAATAAAAGTACTGGAGGGAATAATGCTGCTTCATTGGCTATTCTGCCTCTCATCACTTTACATCTGCCTACAAAGTGTCAACTCACAACCAGCGAATGCAGAACTTCAGAAACTATTTCAACTGCATAATGAATATAGACATATGGTGATGAATTGCGAATTGGAGAATCAACCACCGGCTAAATATCTTCCAGATCTTGTAAGTTTTCTGCCCGCCGTCACTGTTGTTCTTTTTCACTTAACCATCCTCCGCCAATGGCTAAAACAACAAAAAAATAGTTTACAGTCCTTCGTTCTCTCCTCTGATGTCATATTTTTAATCATGATTTTCTTGCTTTCGCTTTTCTCGTCTTCCCTATTTAGCGATGGGATAATGAACTCGCCTATTATGCTCAAAAATTAGCAAATACTTGTTTCTTTGAATATGACGACATTCAGTTGCCTAAATACAACTACACTGGACAAAGTATAAGCAGTCATGCAACTGTTGAAGAGTAAGCGAATGAGACGAATATTTTGCCCTTTTTTAATTTTTTATATTTTAGAGCTGTAGAAGCTTGGTTTGAAGAGAATAAAAATTATGATTATAACACAAGAGCCTGCCGTGATAGCTGCGTACATTATACACAGGTGAGGTGTATATTTTCGTCTATTTCTCTGTTGGTTGGTCAGTTGGTCGGTTAGTTTCGAAGATGGATTAGTGATTTTGTCCTCAATTACCTTTACACCAAACTAATGAAATCATCTTTGATTCAAATAGACATTTATTGTAAATGAGTTCCCCATGGATTCTTAATGAAATATTTGACTTCAGGATTTCTTGTTTAACTGCATTCACAATTGTCAGTAAGTTCTCATCTCTGCCTCAGTCGATCTTCTGCAAGTCATTCCCCGACACACATGGTCAATGACATTTGAATATAACAGTATTCGATATTCTTCATTTCTATGTTTTGTTCTTCAGGTTTCTGATTGAAACATACAGCATGAAGCTATGGGAACTACAGTGGAAGCGATGTTGTTTATTCCCCAGGACCGGGTGGCCAGACTCATGTTCAGTCTTTCGTTCTTCCTAAGCCTACTACTGATCAAACGAGATTTAGAAGTACTCCATCTGGATGTTGAACCCTGCAGGACATGTGGTGTGGTTTACGAATATTCAACTGTTGAAACACCGGTGCACAATAATCATTTACTGTCACATGGTAGAGACGAGGTGAATTGGAGTATCTCAGCACTGATTCCAGTATCTCTGACGTCATTATTGAGCACTGTATCATCATTTGATAGATAGAGATTTCTTGACATAGTTGTATCAAAGAAGGTCTTTGAATTAGGAAATTCTATGCTCTATGAATAATTTATGCCTTCGTCTCTTCATATGGTCTGGCAGAATACAACACTTGTTGGATGTGGTGTGAAGGACTGTCAAAGACCAGGATATGGATTATATATAGTCTGTAATTACGCTGAAGGGTGAGTTAATTTGTAGAGAGTCTTTTCAAAATTGTTAAAATTAATCCGTGAATACACCTGAGTGTACTAGCCAGCTGTTCCTGTCGTTCTGATTTGGGGAATTTTTACAAAATGAACCCCCCCTTAAAGTATCAAAACGCGTGCCCTTGGGTTTTAAGGCGGAGTCATTGCTCATCCAGTTATTGTTTGTGTATCAGGCGTTCATCCATCCATCCCAGCAGTGGGGGATTCAAATCTTCATCGACAACGTACTTGTTAATCTCGCCTAAGCCGGTAAATGAGGAAGGCAAGGCGTGAGGCTTTCAACCTCACATAGTAAAATACAAAAAATATAATAATGCAAGTGCTACTGGGACTTGAAATCTCAAAGCTTGAGACCGTATGTTCCACCGCGGAAGTATTGAAATTACAAAATAATTCTTGAATAATAATAACAATAATGATACTAGAGTAATTTCGCCATTGTTTTCTTTTACACCTAACCTAGGGCTGATTGGAAAAACGAGCGTCCCTATGAAACAAAGCCACTGAGTGAATGTGATCGACAACGGGTTCCAGCTCGTAAACCACCAAAGCCAACTGTCGCCACCACCACCACTACAACAACACCACCAAGCCGACAACCATCCTATTCAAAGAAAATACCCGAACCTGATTGGACACAACTCAGAGCCACCTGGAATCAATACGCCGCTGCTCAGCGTCTTCAAGGAAATATAGCACAAACATGTATTTGTTTTGACTGAGTGAGGAGAAGTGCAGCAGTAATTGCGTCATGTCATTGAACTGATATAATTTTTCAAATAAAGTGTAGTTTTGGTAAACTCAATGATTTTGCCTTTTCCTGAATTACATCTTTGAGAAGAGGAGATTTACAGACGTTCATGAGCGAGGTTTCCCTCTACGGGAGATAAAAGATTGAAAGATTTGTGAACATAATATGTTGAATACTGGAATGAATGATTTTTCATCAGGATGTACACAGAAACGAAGGAAAACATGGATGGGTTGGAAAAGATAGCAATTGAAATGTTCAGCCTCACATCGAGATTGTGCTGGAGGTATGTAAATGACGCATTCACTGTACTCAGGGTACAGATGAAATATAAAGATTTTTCGAACACATTAACTCAATTCACATGTGAATTGAAAAGTCAGGAACGAGAGCTTACAATGTTGGATTGTAGCGTGAAAACGAGAGAAGATGATAATTTAAACACTGGTGTCCGAAGGAAACGAACACATTCAGATAGATATTTAGATTTTTGACCATCCTACCCTATGTCTGTAACAGTAGGTTTAGTGAAATCTTTAAGTAATAGAGCACAAAAACTAAGTAGTACCAAGGAAAATCTAAGAAAGGAAGTGGGGCATAAAAGAGAGGCTTTGAAACTTAACTATTAGTAAATGAAAAATCCCCATATTGAAATCAAAACAAGATTTTGAGCGAACAATTGTGGTTTCGATAACTTCTTCTTCTTCAGGCTCTACAGTTATAAATCCATGAATAATATAGTACATATAGCCAATAAAGGCAAATGAAAATAATATCAGAAACTGTATTGGGGTGCATGTGTAAGTTGAGATGATAGTCCATTAGTTAGCATAGTCAATTAAGTGTGTATAGGGTGTTTAGTCAGAAAAATGTGATGAAGTATGAATGAACAATTAGGTGATATAGTGTAGTTTAATAGTTAAGAGAATACAAGTGTCCTTGGGGTGAGAAAATGCGATAACCGCAAAATACATGTAAAGACACGTTAAAAAATGAGGCACTGGATATGAGGGCTGACCGATAATGTCTAATGATAAAATAAAGGGGCTGAATTGTAAATTGTAATAAAATGCTACAGAATTGGTAGGTTTAGTATAAAATCATAAAGGTTGACAAAGTAAGGGTAACAATGAGGTGAAATAAACTGGGTGGAGAAATGGATAATAAAGACATGATATCACAAAATAATAATAATGATAATAATAGTACGAAAAGATTATGATCCTGGTGACCTAATAGTGGGCCAGGGTAGACAAAGAGAGTGAATAAGTTTTTTCTGTACACATAGATCTGGTCTTTCTCTATTAATCTCTAAAGCCTCAGGTATGGCTAGGAGGCGTAATCGTGTGCCTTTGGGGAGATTGTTCGGTACCCGATACGCAACTGTAAATGACTCATCTACTTTGATGCTGTGTTCGCTATCCACTAGATGAGACAGAATTGCACTATTAATTGATTTGGTTGTTCTTTTCCCAAGCCAAACAGGAATATGTTCACGAGTGCGTAGAGATAAATTCCTCTGGGTATGACCTATATAACTAGCTCCACAGGAGCAGTTAAATTTATATACACACATTGATGTCGCCATTTTGGGCAATCTATCTTTAATGCACGGTGTCAATATCGGTTTGGTTGAGAAACTGACATACAGTTTTGCGGCAATAAAAGTTCTTTCAATTGATCTTGTTAATCTACGGTTTAATATATCACTGGCTATATCGCCTCTTTTCTTACATATCTTTTTGCAGTATTGGCGTGAGCACATCTTGAGCAGTCTAAGGGCCTTTTTTCATTGGTGGATCATTTTCAGGATTTTTACCTCTGTTGGAGGTGATTTTGTAATCTTACCTATCTTTTATTGATTTCATCATCTGGATTGTTCTCTTCACAGATAAAGGCCTGGTTGTGTGTTATGATTTTTTGAGATCTCTTTTGCCTGCGTCCTGTCTTTTCTGTTTCACTTTGCAGTCAGTTCAACGTAGAACCGTCTTCTTTCCGATGATCATCGTACACTTTTTGCTGTCCTTCTTGGCGTTTATCGATCCTCTGCATCACCATCCTCGCCTTCCCTCTTAGTCTCCAGGTATCCATTCAGAGCATTTCCTTGTCTTGCCTCTTCTTTCTTCCTAGAACATTTCTACACGTTTGCTTAAGTGTTGACTTCAGAGAGGTAGTTACAATATTCTCCCAGGCAGGATTCCTCAGTGAAACCCTGTTGTGTCTCTTACCTCGCTCTGATCTGATCTGTAGTTAAGGCATCCCGGTGATTTCGCCCCTTAGTTTCCAAACTTTGAACTTGAATTACAGTTGCCACTCTTTACTAGTTTGGTGTGTCCGTCAGGCGAAATCCATGTTGTTTTAGGCATGTCCTAGTACTTGTACATGCTGCTTTCAATCACCAGATAATTGAAAGCTCAGAAGTCTGAGAAGAGATCCCCGTTCTCATTCATTTAGTCAATTCACATCCTCTCGACCCATAATGAGTTCAGTTCTTGCATTATATGACACCATTTCGGCTGGTATTAACACAGTCCATGAGGATTTTGATGTAACCTTTTGAGATGTTGTTAATTATTGTTTGTGGTTGTATATAAACTATATTTGGTTTCCTCTTGTTCCGCCTTCTTTAGTACTGTGAGATGAATTTCGCTGTCATGATCCTAGCCGAAATTTGTTCTCGCTGCATTGTGGCTCTGGCTGCCACTGATGATATCATGATAGCCACCCACTGCCTCAATTTCCTCATGGTTGTCTTTTGGGTGACCTCATGAAGTGGATTACTAACTCTAAAGTTGACAATTTCAACAGTCCACATCTATTCAATCTGCTGCCACAGTTACCCAGTACTTCTAAGCCATATCTTTGCATTTCCTCGACTACGTGGGCGGCCTTCTCAACCGGCCTCGTAAGCTTGAGCAGATTCCACATCCTCAAGTCTCATTCTTGCTTTCCTCGAGAGAAAACAAATCGGCTGGCTAACCGGCCTCACGAACTCTGGCTTTCCTCAGCCCACTGTTTCATTATGCCTCTCCAGTTTCAGCGAAAAGTGAGACTTAATTTTAATTTGTTGTGTTTTTAGCACATATTTTATGTGACTTGAATTTTCTTGACCAGTTTGATAGCTTTGGGGGCGAAGGGTTGCTAGCTCCATAAATAACCCTCACCCTTTTCACAGCCTTGTGATCGCATAAAGAATTAGCAAGCTAGTTGACTAGCACAGGTGTTCAGAAACTAAATTCTTACAGCTTGAAAACAGAGGACTCAAGTTTGAACACAATTCTCTCTCATATTACAAGACTTCAATCATGAGTAAACTGATGAGAATGTGAAAATCTTTCTAAATGAAAATACAAGTACTTTAATATTTTCTGTATTATTCTGAAACTACACAGATATCCTGAAAATAAAATGGCTGATATTCCCATATTTCTACTTTAGGTACAAACCAAAACACCCTTTACTTTGAGTAAACTGGAATATATAGTCATAGTGAAACCGGTGTGAACCATGTTGTTACCTGAGTTTAGTAGCCTTTCCTCAATTTCGTGTGATTCTCTGCTCATTCACAAATTCTACAAAATTGTCGTATTAAGTAGCCGCAAAATTTTACAACGTTTAGAATCACAACGTTTCCAATCTCAGAATTCTGTTTTGTGTGTGAACTTGCTGTAAGTAATTTGAAATCCAATAAAATAGGTACTCATACAGTTAATCCGCCTTAGAATTCTGAATTAATCTGAATAGAGAAAGGACGACAAATTTACTGGGAGAGATCATATGAGGTCAACGATTAAGGAAAAAAAAATATTTCGATGATTCTTCGCAACTGTCTGCCTCCTCACTGAACAATACAGAAATATAAATAACACTAATGAGGAGTTTTGCAATTGATAGTGTTCTCTGAGCTCCTTGGTTTAATTGCGGAGCTTTCATCGTCTTTCTGGACGACATCTTCAGCGCAGTATTTAGGATAAAGTGAAATGATTTAAATTTCTTCATGAGGAGTAATTGTGGACAGAAAATAAGAGTAATATTGGTCAGGAATGATGCAAGTTCCTTTTTGAATAATCAGCAGTGAAGGAGAGGGACCGTTTATAAGATAATTAGACGACTACGCTTGGAATCAAAGAAATAACAGAGTTCGACAGATTTCTGCGGGTACAAACAATGTTTAAGTAGAAATATTGCAGTGGATAATATTCTACGTAATCACAGAAGATACGCCTTCTTAAAATAGCCAAATAAATGTTACACGTGTAGGTAGAGTGAGTGATTATTATTAGACGAAGAATACAGTTTTCTGCACAGAAGCGAAGATGACATTGTAACACTTGTATACTTCAGTATCGCAAAGTAAGCGTGAATGAGATTCATCACCGTCTTTTTCGCTCTGCGTGCATAGCTTTGGTTTAAATTGTTGACTGGCGATTGCCTCAGTTAAATGTAGCAAACTAGGGTGTTTCTTTCGCCCTGTTGATTATTTTCCACGGCTTCAGAATGGCCACAACATGACTAGCGTCTAATAGATGGCATACAGAAAATCAAGACAAGTGATTCAGGAAAGGGACTCGTTTCAACGAATTTATCATCAACCTGTACTATCATATATAAACATGGTTTTTAAGAAGTTATATCCGGTGAGGGAATTGAATCTTAGGTGTGAATGCAACAAAATAATAATAATAATCATATGAAGTTCAATTAAAACTAAAATGTTTGTGATTATAATCGTAGTTAAATGTCAAGTGGCAAAGCAGATTAATGTCATATATAGAATAATTCATAGGAGGGATAAAACTTGAAAAAGAATGTGCAATTAAAGGATTAGTAGACAAATCGAATAAAAACAAAAACGTTACGTAATATTGTGTGAAATTTAATAGCATAGAATTTATCGTTGTAAAAAAGAATTGATTTAGAATGACAAGTGGAACAAGTGAAATAATACCGCGGACAGTTCAAAGTGAGAGT